TGCATACAATTCCTGCCTTGATAGACTTATGACTGTAATAGACAGAAGTTGCTTATATACCACCCCATAGATCTTAAAGCACTCTCTGGACAGTTTACAATGTAATTATGCAGGTTATTATGCTCTTTCCGCAGCAAGCTGGCTATTCAATTTACAAACCTTGGAAGGATGGAATACTGATTGAATCTTGAGCCAGCTACCTGGGATTAAACCAAAGAAGCACTGGCATACAAATTTTATAGTATATGGCCAAATTAATTTACAGTTAAGTTTCAAGCATTTTACCTTTTTTGCAAGCTAGATGTAAACCTGATTTAAATGTGACACTAGCATGTATGAAAAGCTGATCTACTCAATATTCTACATCCTGAGTACCTCCTTCACCACTCATATTGCAATCAAAACTCTGCTCATGACCTGAGTTTGATTCCAATGGGCTGAGGTAACCAGCTCATGGTTGACTCAGCCTTCCTTTCTTCCAATGTCAGTAAGCTGAGTACCCAGCTTGTGGGGGTGCGGGGGATGTGTAGTCTGCATAATTTTTAAAAAATGTAAACTGTATGGTGCGGTATATAAATAGCACAATTTGCTTTGTTGCTTTTGCTTTTTATCCCACCACTTTCAACCACCATTTAGCATACAGTTATAACACTCAATGGAATCACTAATGCAAACACTGCTAGTAAAGCAATTCAGTTCAAATGTAACAATGGATGCTACCATGTTTCCCAAATAATAAGACAGGGTCTTATATTAATTTTTGCTCCAAAAACACATCAGGGCTTATTTTCAGGGGATGTTTTTTTTTCATGTACAAGAATCTACATTTATTCAAACAGTCATGTCATCTTCTGTCTACTGCACAAGGGTGGAGGGTTGGGTTTCACTTAATTGGGACTTATTTTTTGGGTAGGGCTTATATTATGAGCATCCTGAAAAATCATACTAGGGGTTATTTTCAGGTTAGGTCTTATTTTCAGGGAAACAGGGCATATATGCAGGTTGAATTTTAAAACACGCTTGTCTTCCCTGTCTTTTTTAAAATGTTGTATACTGTACATTTCAGATGATAGTCTAGTTACTATGGGAATCTTACCCCATATATAAAACATTGCTAATCTAATCTAACACTTTGTACAAGAGGCAATAAAAATAATAATAATTTATTGTCATTGTAAGTATATACACATACAACGAAATTCACAAAATTCAAAAAAAGTTAGAGTTCAGATTTTGTACCTGGACAAGTAAAAATGACTATACATTGAAAATATAATCGAACGATACATATGCCAAAAACCTCTGAATAGTCAAATCAAAGCAGAAAAAGATCCTATCAGACAGAGTTAACTTCCGCAGCAAACCTAAACACACTAGCCACTATCCAGTTCAATATTTATACACAGGGAATATGTACAGAAGCTGCCACAGAGATCCAGTGCCCATCAACTGCTTGGTTGTGCATAATTAGCACCTCGTCAGATTCTCACAGCTTCTACTAGCAGAGCTCCCCAAACACATAAATATTGAACAAATTACTATCCAGTTAGTAGTAAGTCCCACTGAACACTGCTGGATTTACTTCCAAGTAAAATGCACAAGACCACACACAATGCTAGAACAAGGAAGAGGCAACAATGAGAAAAGTTATCAGTAAAGGGACTGAATAGCCAACACTATCTAAATTTACAGCAGTCAAAAATGTAGCAAAGTTGCAATGCCGTGTTTATAAACTTCGTTCTAGGACAAAGTTGACTCCTGTCAAAAGAGAGCAACACTCATTCTTAGTCTTGTCTTCTGTTTTTCTTGTTTCAGGAGCAGAGTTGTATGAAGAAGCATACACTAAAACATAAGCAAAATACTAATACAGTGCAGTTCTATAAATGTATTTTGTTGTTGTTTAGTCGTTAAGTCATGTCTGACTTTTTATGACCCCATGGACCAGAGCACACTGGCCCTCCTGTCTTCCACTGCCTCCTGGAGTTGGGTCAAATTTGTGTTGGTAGCTTCGATGACACTGTCCAACCATCTCATCCTCTGTCATCCCCTTCTCCTCTTGCCTTCACACTTTCCCAACATCAGGGTCTCTTCCAGGGACTATAAAGGTATACATAAAAGTATACATTTGTTGTATACATAAAAGTAAATCCTACCAAACTCAATGGCACCTACAACCACATTAAATGTGTGCACAACTGCAACCTAAGTCCCCAGCTGAATGCAGGAGGTCTTATTTCCAAACAAACATGAACTGAATTGGGCTGCAATTAATTTAGATATAATTTACTGCATGCAATGCTGACCAATACTGGCAACAGACTTACATATCACTTTAATTATTAAAAGATTTTATGCGGCATAAGCTCCTGTGGGCATCAGATGCCTGATGAAGTTGGCTGCAGTCCAAGAAAACCTATTCTAAATAACATTTATTCATCTTGAAAGTGCTAAAATACTCGTTGGTATTTTTGCTGGAGCAAACCAATACTACTACTCCCCTCACATTAGATCAATACTGACTAAGAAAAACAAATTAGAGGTTGATTTGTCTTCTTTTCCCTAAACACAGTTTCCGAAGATTTTTTTTTGAGGGTTTTTTTGTTTGTATATATATATATATGAACAAAAATAAAAAGGAAGCCACCATACTGTACACTTAAGTTACTCTGATCATTAATACTTGTATGCCCACCCTATCAAATCTAATTCGGGAGTTTCCCACTCCACTACCCATTTCCATTTCTTCTTTCAACACTTAAGTCCAACTTTTTAAAACTGTTTTGTACCAATATGTAACTTTTTGAAAAATGTATAATCCTCAACATCAGTAAAATATTCCTGACATTCAAAAGAATCTGACAGAATTTGACAGGTGTTTTGATGAGGAACTGAGAGGGCCTTCTCTGTCAATGCTCCCATGTTGTGGAACTCCTCACTGCAGAAGATCAGGTTGGCTCCCACTTTGATGTCCTTCTGTAGGCAAGAAAATATCTTACTCTCCAGATATGCATTTTCTCAGTAACTGGCTGCCTATGAGGGGGACTGCTGTTTTGTCCTCCCTGCTTCCAGTTGTTATATTGTCTGTTTTAATGTACTGTTAACCACTGTGGGTCCTCTTGAGGAGAAAGGTGGGTATAAATATTT